CCTGGTCGACGTGCGTGGATCTCCCACTTGGTAGACTTGCATGGATCCTCCACATGGTCGACTTGCGTGGATCCCCCACTTGATCGACTTGCGTGGATCTCCTACTTGGTCAACTTGCGTGCGTCATTGTCTTGATCGACGTGCGTGGATCCCCCACTTGGTCGTCGTGCGTTGATACCCCACCTGGTCGACGTGCGTGGATCTCCCAGTTGGTCGACTTGCGTGGATCCCACACTTGGTCGACTTGCGTGGATCCCCCACTTGGTCGACTTGCGTGGATCCTCCACTTGGTCGACTTGCGTGGATCCTCCACTTGGTCGACATGCGTGGATCCTCCACTTGGTCGACTTGCGTGGATCCCCCACTTGGTCGACATGCGTGCATCCTCCACTTGGCAAACTTGCGAGGATCCCCAACTTGGTCGACTTGCGCGCATCCTCCACTTGGTCGACTTGCGCGCATCCTCCACTTGGTAAACTTGCGAGGATCCCCAACTTGGTCGACTTGCTCGCATCCTCCACTTGGTCGACTTGCGTGCATCCTCCACTTGATCGACTTGCGTGGATCCTCCACTTGATCGACTTGCGTGGATCCTCCACTTGATCGACTTGCGTGAATCCTCCACTTGATCGACTTGCGTGGATCCTCCACTTGATCGACTTGCGTGGATCCTCCACTTGATCTACTTGCGTGGATCCTCCACTTGATCGACTTGCGTGGATCCCACACTTGGTCGACTTGCGTGGATCCCACACTTGGTCGACTTGCGTGGATCCCACACTTGGTCGAATTGCGTGGATCCCCCACTTGGTCGAATTGCGTGGATCCCCCACTTGGTCGATTTGCGTGGATCCCCAATTGGTCGATTTGCGTGGATCCCCCACTTGATCGACTTGCGCAGATTCTCCACTTGGTCAACATGTGTATATTCTGCCTTTGATCGACTTGAGTGGATCCTCCACTTTTTCAACTTGCTTGAATCCTCCACGTGGTCGACTTGCGTTGATCCCTCGCTTTGTTCGACTTGCGTATATCTTGCACGTGATCGACTTGCGTGGATCCACCACTTGGACGACTTGCGTGCATTCTCCACTTGGTCGAGTTGCGTGCATCCTCCACTTGGTCGAGTTGCGTGCATCCTCCACTTGCTCGACTTCCGTGCATCCTCCACTTGGTCGACTTTCGTGCATCCTCCACTTGGTCGACTTGCGTTGATCCACCACTTGGTCGACTTGCGTTGATCCTCCACTTGGTCGACTTGCGTGGATCCTCCACTTGGTCGACTTGCGTGGATCCTCCACTTGGTCGACTTGCGTATATTCTGCACTTGGTTGAACTGAGTGGACCGTCCACTTATTCAACTTACACGAATCCTACACTTGGTCGACTTGCGTGGATCCCCTACTTGGTCGACTGTTGTGGAACCTCCACTTGGTCGACTTAATCATATTGCTGTTGTTCACGGTCTGTTTTTTCCAGTGCCTTCTCCATCTTTAACAGAATGCTGCTGCTTGAAATTAAGAAAGTGTTCTAGTTTACTTTTTCTGTGATAGAGTTGTGACAATCTCCAAAGTGCACTGGTTGTCAACTGCGCACTCAAACATCTCTGCCCTCTGTTTGCGGGTAAAGTAGGAGATAAGGACAAAGTCTTTAAGTTTGGGAAGTTTTTGCTATATTTCAAGCGGCCTGGTCGAAACCGCATCCTGTAAGGAAATCTCAGCATTCATTTTCACGTACTTACTTTTCACTTGATACAATGCCACACGAGTTTCTTTCTATTCAGTCTTATTAAAAAAGATTACTATGAATCGCCTGGCAAATTTGCGCTGGTTGCCGAAAACACGAGGGGATTGTACATATGAACTTTATTATCACCTTCGCGGCTTAATGTTACGTCAACATTTACGAGCTTCATAACACAGAAATGTACAATTTCTAAAATGGAAAAGAAAAAACCCTGACATGATTTAATCTGAAAATATAAGAGAAGCCCGGTTTTTGACATATTTGAATAGGACATTGTGACTTTTTCTTGATTACAATAACGGGACACACGCACATAAACAGAAGCAACACTGTAGTCAACTACACATTTGGAACATTATTGAATATGATTAGCACAAATAAAATGAAAATAGGCCTAAAATTTTTGTAGAAATTACTTTTTTTGTACATTATTTGCAAGTTGCATACTACATTTTTGAAACTTAAGAAGCAGAAAGTCCGGCTTAATAAATTTTTTGGTAACGATATCGATAAAGAATATTCAAGCTCGTAAGATGCAATAGCTCATTTTTCCTTCGTAGATCCACCATTAAATCTTTCCCTTCTTGATTGCAATAGTCTGTGAAACACTTGTTACATGGTTCATGCGCATATGATCACCTCACAATTACTTTTTTAAACTAATGCAAACTCAATGGAACTCATTATGATAAACTTAAAATTATTGATAGTAATTTATGGTGATCAGTCATTCTCACATAAAGGGGACTTTTTGGTTTTCCGTTTATTTCCAAAATAATATAGGACAGGGATTCAAGAGGAGGGACTGTCGTGGCTAATCTGATCACTTCAAGCTGGTTTGGACATGGCAAAAATGTACGAATTTTTCTCATTCCAAGAAGAATTGTACAACATTGAGAGGTATTCACCAAACAGATTGTACTGTAAGGGTTGATTAAAACAAAAGGATCTGAGCATTATGTATTTTTTGAGAACATAAAACTTCACATTTTTGGCTACTCTTACAAATGTTTGTTTCAGAAAATGATTTGGATACGAGAATTTTACAGGACAACTATTAGAACATGTAAATTATCACGTGACAATGAACAATAATTTTTGACAAGTTCATACAGCTTTCCTCAAATTCACACGATTTTCAAGAATAAGGGACCAGCAAAAAATTTAAGTGAAAACACAAAATATTACTTGTATGTCTAGTCATTTAATAATAAACTTTTAGCTGCTCCCAATCTTGAGAAATCAAACAAATTCACTCTTCATTCAGTCTATTGGCAGTACACACAAAACATCAAATTCCAATTTATTACACAAGTGCATGAATGTTTTATTGAAGTACTGTTTTAACAATGCATTGACATCCAGAACTTCATTACAACTCTGTTAAGAAAGCTACGTTAATCCTAGGAATAGATTTATTCCTTTAGTAATTTACGCTACAGAAAAGAGAATTAATTTGCACATGCCCTGTAGCTTGTATTAATAACACAGTTTTGTTCACAGATAAACAAATATTCTTTTAAATGAAAATCTTCAGTACAACAAAATGACATTAGGAACAAGTACTGAACACAGAAAAATGAAGGGAATTTATTTGTAGTAATAAAGATGAAAGAAAGGAAAAAAATGAAGATGAACAAGTTAATCAAAGGTCTAAGAGGTAATAAAGATGCTGCCACCTACAGAGCACACAGCACCGCCCAGAAATGCCAACTGCCTCACCAACGTGAAGCCAAATTAAGCATTTACTCTAAACCCAATTCACTGGTACAGTCAGTACAGCAGAACAAAGCAAAATTAATCTGGTCTTTTGAATGCTTTCATCAGATATGGTTAGACTCAGAATTCTGACCATACTCGAAGTGTAACAAAGGTCTAAATGTTCAAGACCTCAGTAATATTACTCTGGGGAATCTCATGCCATTCTTGACTTAAGATTCCTAGTGCTTTGACATTAAACTAAAAGTGACTCTAGTTTAATTTGAAGATTTTGTATTTACAACCAAAGCAAAAATTATTAAAGATGGAAAGGTATTACACACTTCTTTTCAAATTATGCCAAAGGTACAGAAATAAGCCATTGGGTAAATCTGCTCCCTGTGTTGTACATTAATACTTAATTTGTAACATTAGTTCTTGCAGAGAAAGAAGCTACGCACAACCCAGTATGATTCTTTCAGCTACACAAATGGAAGTCCCATGAGTAAGAATGTTAAAACTTACAATAGTGTCAAACAAGAATTAAAATTTATTATTGCTTAGGACCTGCAATATTCTTCTTCACTTAAAACATTCATTTCAGATGGACATAAAAATGCATCCACACACAAAGGGACTGGCAAGCACCATCATTAACTCCCTCACACTAAATTTACTGTCTGTACAGAATGTTTTCATGGTCAATGAGCATTCAAGCTCTCTACACAATACAAAACACAAACACATCAATTCTACAACTTGAAACATCAAAACCACTTTCACAATTTTACTGTAGCTCAGAGAATTAGAAAACGACTAAGTAATATCACTACGCACCACAGCATGGTTTGTACTTGGAGTAAAAAGGGGGCACAAAGTTTCACCTTCTTGAAGAAGTTCATCAAGAGGCGGTGGCTTCGGTCGATGGGGTAATTCCATTTTTGGAAGGTCAGCTATTTTCATCTCCTTACGAAACAGTTGCCCCATACTGCGACCAATTAACTGCAATGAAAGCCAAGGGTACAAATGCAAATATGTAATCACAGGAAATCTTGTCAGAATAAAAGAAAAAATACTGATGTGCTGACATTTCATTTCATTTTAATAATATTTGACACTAATTCCATTCATGCACAAAGTTTCAATTGACACTTTGCTATTTTAGCAACTGATGATTACCTGAGAAGTAATGCGTTTAAATACTTCTTTCTTCGCTTTCTCTACTTTTGTGCCTTTCTGATTGTTTGCAACAATTTTTTCATCTAATTTTTGAAGTTCATGAGGACTGCAGTTAGGAATTTGCAACATAACCTAGAAGAAAGCCAAATTAGTTATATGTTAAAATATTAGTCTTAATCAATTTCCAAACTTCAATAAATATTATATTAATCTTACGTCTACTATGTTCGGAAAATTGGGTCGCAGTATTTCATAAACTTGAGCACCCAAGGAAAGTAACGATCCCTGATTTCCTTCATGTTGACCATGCATCTGTAGTCCTTGAAGAACAGATGTCATTATATGAGCAGCAACATCTGGATTTAAACTACCATCACTAGCCAACAGCCTGACAACAGGAGCTGCAAGTTGAGTGGCCTTCAAACTTGCTAATGTGTCATTCCAAAACAGCGCCCTGCATCAAATTCATCATACACAAAATTAATATTGATACTCTTGAAATATGTATTTCAAACTTTTCCTGTGTTATCGTAAAAGAACATTTAGAAAAGATGGGGCAAGACAGGGCAGAGGTGTAGGGATTATATGTTTTGTTGCTTTATATCAGAAAACAATTATCAAGTTGAACATTTTCGAAAACAATGGAATCTTCATTATACCTATCAATTGCCAGTTCACATTTTGCTGTAGACCCCCATTCAACCCCTTCATCATCACTAGGGGCAGATTTTAATGAAATGTAATTTTCACTTTAGAACAATGCCATTTAGAACAGAAATTCATTTATGTTATGACAAAACAAAATGACCCATTTTTATAAGTAATATTTTTTGAATTTTTGTCAATTTTCACTAATAAGTCTTTTTTTTTAACCTTTGTACAGCATTTATTCACAGATTTTATTGATTTTAATATCATGGTGGTATTTGCTTCAAACAATATTTACCAGATGAAACAAACGTTCACTACAGAATTTTAGAGTAGCCTATTCGATTTCTTTGCTCATATATTGTAATATCAGTCATTGGGAGTGCTATGTAATCTAAGGTTCCTGTGATGTTTATCGATGCCATTGCCTGTTCAGCCAATTTGGCAATAAATAAAGGCAGAGATTGTCTTTTAAATAACAGTCCAAAGCAGAAGTTTATGAGTTGTGTTCACTTGGACAAAAGGAAGAAGCCTCAATAATATCAGTAACATACCCAACAGCTTCAGTTGTTCATCTGAAGTGGTTTTGATCCATTTTTTAATGTCATTTTTCTTTGGTTTTAGGACATTTTTAAAGCATTTTATTGATCATTTTTGGCAATGTTTTAGATTATCAAAATCCACCCCCTAATTATCATCGTCCTCTTTCAAGATTTTGACCCCAAAGGATCAACACACTTATTGTAAAACTTTAACTGCACACAACATTTCCGAGGTTGATATTGATCCATCTTTAGATTCAAAACAGGGAATGGCCAGCCACAACCATCTTATTAGATTGGTACCCAAATCGATCATGTGTTTTGCATAGTTTCAGTTGTGGCTCCTTTTTGATTCTCATAGGCCTAAAGGTTGCTTGGTCTGATTGACCCTGTCTGAGTTTGTCTAATTCAACAGTAGTGCCTAAACCATACAAAGGTTTCTCAGAAAAATGAATACTCCCCAATCAATCTAAGTGTTACTGCAGCTCCTCCAACTTGATACATATCTTTTCATTGTTTTAACTGAAGCTATTATACAACACACTAAAATACTTTTCATGATGGTCAGTTTCTTTAAAACTTTTGGATTTTCAAAAATTTAAGAGCTTAGTTTTAGAGATGCAACAGGGCATTTACACTGTTGAACCAACTGGCTGGTGAATGTTTGGCAAGCTGACCGCAGAAACACACATGTTCTGTATTTAATATGCCAGCTTGAGAAAACACTTTATGATGTGGGGTAATTCGCAAAACCATTTGTGGGTCAATGAAATTTTTGCATTGGTTCAGTTAGTATCTTCATATTACTATAAGAGAAGCTCAGAATATAACATTCAGGATTTATATATTAATTCATCATTCTATATTTACCTGAAGATACAAAGCACAACTGACTGACAAGTATTCTCATAGCGTAAAATGAGAGATCCTAATTCAGAAACTTCAGTCTGTAAGAGAACATTAGGTCGAGGTGCTTCATCCTGATCCATATCAAATCCAAGAGACCCAGAGTCTGTTGAACCACCAACTAAAGCCACCTTCAAAACATCCAAGTACTCCCTAGTCAGGGTTCGATTCAACATATCTTCAAGCACCTCCTGCGAATTAAAAGTATTTAGAGCCAAAAGAGAGAGGAAAACAAAAAGGGGGAACAGAGTGATTCATAGGAATAAATGTCTCTGAAAATATACTGGCCAAATAACACATCATAAAGAAAGCTTCTACAAAAGAATACTAAACAATTTAAAACTGACTTAAGGACTCTTGACCTCTTTCTGAATGAAACGAGAAAAAGCAGAATAAGAATTTGAATCTCTTTATAAACAATGAAGGTTTGTTTCAACAGAGAAGTAATATTCAGTATCTTAGAGAATTAAAATTTTGGAGAGCACAGAAGCAAATATTGAAATATACTTTCACTCAAAAAATCTAGTATATTTGAAGAGTGTATTTATAATGTTCATGTTTAATACGTTATCCAGGAAACTAGCAACTTAACAATCTTTTCAAAGACATAAAATGTTATAAAAAGATAATGATAATTATTAAAATACATTTCCACGTCACAAAAATTCAATATACATTAAAACCTTTTTTTTTCTTTTCAATGGAAAAAAGTGTTAACATGCAGGAAAGTTAAAAAGTGGTAAACTTGGCGAGTACTTACATTATTTATTGCAACGATGGCTCTGTTTTTACACTCTTGCCCTCTTCATAAGAAGAGAAAGTATTATAATCATGCACCAGAAAATGGTGAATTTTTGACAGAAAAGTTCATATTGATGGGTTCTGGTAACGAAAAATTTGATAAATTGTGTACGTATACAGTACTTAACTTTTTCTAATACATGGTGTAGCTGGAATCCATGTTTTGTGGGTTCTTGACACCAAAATGACGTTAAAATGTCTGACTGGTAAAATGTGGTCAATGACCTCTTAAACCTTTCAGCAGATTTTCTCCAAATTTGTTTTCTCTGATTGATCTGAATGAACTTGAGACTTTGCCAGCATTGCTACATACATACATATTAATTTATTACACATTGGAACAGGATTTACCCAGTGTATTGCTTTGCGTTTTCTGTCAAAAACCATGTTTTTTTGCTGAAGCATTACATAACTTTCTCTGCCTTATCAGTATTTGAGAAAGTTAAAAGAATTCATTCCCCCCCCCTCCCCCCTCGCCTACTCTTTTTCACAACAAACATCTATACACACCAACTATATACGACCAATCGTTCTTTGACAAACCTATCGCTACCACTGAGTAAAAATCCGTTCCAATGTGTAATAAATTAATATGTTATTAATGTAGCAATGCTGCCAAATCTTCCAAGTTCATTCAGATCAATCAGAGAAAACAAATTTTGGAGAAAATCTGCTAAAAGGTTTAAGAGGTCAGTTGACCCACTTTTACAAAACAGTCAAACATGTTTAACGTCATTTTGGTGTCAAACCCACAAAACATGATTCAGCTACGACCATGATGTAACAAAAGAACCAGTTATAAAAGATGGGAGCCCATCACTTCACATTGATCCCTACGATTCACGATAATCTTTATCTAGCATTTGTTCAGAAAATACATTTAAATATAGGCATTTAAGGCAGGGTTTACCAAAAACCATCAATATAGAGAAAATCTTTTTGGTACAAAAATTCACCTATATAATTGCTAGAGCTGGCATATTATATATACTCCATCTTATCGTTTAATGAAGGCAAAGAGTGTAAAAACAGAGACCATTCAGTAACACTTCACTG